CCCGGGGTCAACCCTGGGTTTTTTTTTTTTTTTTTTTTTCAGTAAACCCTAACGCAAACTGAGTGTATTTTTTAAATATAATTATTTTATTTAACTGTTTATTTATTATTTATTTATTTGTTTATTTCAATTTGTCCAGAGAGGGACAGAGTGAGAGAGAGGGAGAGAGAGTGAGAAAGCAAGCCGCCAGGTCCAGGACTTGAACCACGGTCAGCCATGTGGGAATCCAGTGCCTTTAACCACCATGCCACCTGCTGGCCCCAACCCTGAGCTTTTTAATGGAGTGAGGAGAGGGAGAAAAAAGAGGTAGTTTTGACAAGGTCTTGCCATTCCACAATCCTCCCACCCCAGTTTCCAAGTTAGAGCTATAGATGTAAGTTGTCATGCCCTGTTGGGTGTGGGAATTACACCCAGGCCTTCTCTATGGCTCCAGCATCACACGGTAGCACAGTACTCTTTGTATCATTGTGCCTGGGCCACATCTTGAAATTTTAAAGCTAGCTCCCTTTGAAAACATTCTTTTTGGTGAGAAAGGTCTTTATTTTTATTTTTAATGATAATTTCTGATTTACATAAATAGTTGTGCAAATTTATGGGGCTCAGCATTTTCTCAAAATGTGTACATGGTATAATAGTTTATGACACAGTAGACACTTAAAAATTATTTAGCTAATGAAAAAAATTCTAGCCCTAAAGAACAAGTGCTGGCAAGGCTGTGGTGAAAAGGGAGGATTCTTACACTGTTGGTGACATTGTAAATTAGTACAACCTCTGTGGAAAACAATATGGAGGTTTTTCAAAAGCATATGAATAGAACTAACATATGAGACAATAATCCCTCTATTTGATATTTATCCAAAGGATAGGAAAACAGTCAGAAAGACACTTGTGCATACATGTTCATTAAAGTATCATTAACAACTGCTGGAGCATAGAACTACCCTAAGTGTCCAATAACTGATGACTAGGTTGAAAAACTATGGCACATATATACTATGGAATATTACTCTTCTATAAGAAACAATGAAACCCTATTGTTTGATTCAAAGTCAATGACTAAAGAAGACTTAATGCTGAGTGAAGTGAGCCATATTTTGAAAGATACACACTGTATATCTCCACTCAATATGTACTGAAAATCTGCACTCTATGGCAGAAATCAAAAGATCTGAAAATATGATAGTAGAGAGGATAAATGTAGATACCAGAGACTGTAAGTGAGGGGAGAGGGTAGTAGAGATTGGGTAGTGGAGGGTGGGTGTCAGGTGCAAAGGGAAGAAGCATTTAGCAGACAAAAAAAAATGTGAAGTTCTCTGTTGAAAAAATTATTATAGACATCATGATGGGCACTTTATGTAATAATGTGAATTTAATCTGAAAAATAAAAGTGGGACCAGCAGTTAGTGTAATGGCTATATCACTGGACTTCCATGTAGTCGACTGCGGTTCGAGTCCTGGACCCGGTGGCTTAAACTCACATCGGGCTCGTGTGCGTGTGTGCCCCAGATCCCGAGAAGAGAAAGGAGGAGAAGGGATTGCAGTGTGGCCAGCCCCCCTGGGGGGTGATTTCTCCTTCTGTCGGGCTGGCGAGTGCACGTGCCCTGTAGCAAAAAACCTCTCCAAAAAAAAAAACAAAAACAAAAACAAAACTAGAGCTATGTAAGACAAGTATGTACTAGCATATCCTGATTTTTGGTTCACTGTAGTTTGATTTTAGGGTCACTGTAGTTACATTTTTTTAAAGGTGCATAGGAATTTATTTTGTAGAGGAACATAGTAATTATATTATAAAATTCTATTAAGTATTTTGGCTATAAACTCCTGCCCCACTATAGAAAGTTCTTAATTATTTACAATCCTTATCTTATTTTTACTGCCACAAGTGAAAGGGGTTGTTTTTCTGCTTTGTCTCAACCCTTTTAAAGACTTCATGCATCACATTTCTGTGATAGGCCTGTAAAATCAAGTTGCACACTATTTACAATAGCCAAGATATGGAACCAGCCCAAGTGTCCATCAACAAATGAATGTATAAAAAAAAATGTGGTAAGGGAAAGTGAAATGCTATTCAGCCATAAGCTCTTAAGAAGGAAATCTTGTTATCTGAAACATGAATGAGCCTGAAGGACATTATGTTACATGAAATAAGCTGGGCACAGAAAGACACTATCACATGTTCTTACTCATATGGAATCTAAAAAAGTTGATCTCACAGAAGTAAAAAGTAGCATAATGGTTACCAGAGACTGAGGAGGAGAAGAAAGAGGAGAGGCTGGTTAATAGGTTGAAAATTACAGTTAGATAGGAGAAATAGGGACTAACAGGTGGTGTAGTTGCTAAGGTGCTAGACTCCCACATGGCCAACCACAGCTCAAGTGCCAGACCTGGTCACTTGAAACTCATGCTAGGTGTCTGTGCATATGTGCCTAAAATCCTGAGAGGCGAATGGAGGAGAGGGGACTGTGGCATGACCATCCCTCCAGGGGGGTGATTTCTCGCTTTCTGTCTCTCTGTCTCTCCGGAAGCATACGTGTCCTATAGCAAAAATCTCTCAAAAAATAAAATAAAATAGAAGCTAGGAGGAGTAAATGCTAGTGCTCCATTGCACAGTGATTATGATTAGTAGTAATATATCATATATTTCAAAATACTGAGAAGAGGGGATTTTGTATGTTATCATTGCAAATAAATGATAAATATTTGAGGTGATGTATCAAAACGTCACATTGTATCCCATAAATATGTGTAATTATTGTCCATTAAAAATAAAAACTTAATTAAAACAACAACAGGATTGGATCCATGGTTCAGCTACAATCAATTGTTCAAGAGAAGTTGGATCCTGCTGACAAGGGTACATGGGGGTGCAAAGGTGATCAGGCCCAGCATCTGCAGTGAGACACAGGTTCTTCTCCATAGCTCACAAAGAATTAGTGGTGTGGACACAGAGAGAGGATATCAAGCAGAGTTTATTAAGAGAGGGAAAGAACAAATCTCTCAAGCATGGAGCAGGTCCCAGAAAATGGATTGTTGAAGAGGAGCTGGAGTGGAGGCAGTGTTGTTGTTGGTGAGGTTATCTTGGTCAGGAAGGGCTTTGTCTGGAATTCTTCTAGGTGGGGCTTGCTTATGTGTTCCCCACCCCTCCATGGTGAGGGTCAAATGCTGGATGGATCCTATCTGCTATCTCAATGCATGACAACTGAAGTAAGAATCACCAGCCCAGCTAGCCTGAAACACACAGAGCATATGTTTGAATGCCCAAGATCTAGGGCACTGGAGGACTGGAGTTGCATGGCAACTGAGGTCTGAATCTTCAGCCCAGATAGCCTGAAATGCACAGAGTACATGCTTGAGTGCCCAAGATCTAGGGTGCTTTCGGAAGACTGGAGGAAAGGGATCATAGCATGACCAGATCCTGTTGAGGGTGTTCATCTGCTCTCTGGCCTCGTCTGCAGATGGCAAGAGGCAGGCTTTTCTTTTTCCCTCCTCTCCTCTCCCCTCCCCTCCCCTCCCCTCCCCTCTCTCCTCTCCTCTCCTCTCCTCTCCTCTCCTCTCTCTTCCTCCTCTCTCTCTTTCTTTCTCTCTCTCATCTCTATCTCTCATGTGAGCATGCAGTCAAGGTGCAAACACCAGTGCTATTTGGGCCTTTCAGATTCCTCTCAGTTTCCTCTTTCAACTGTGTGCTATCCACTCTCATCTCCCTGGTATGCCAAAGCTAGTTCCACACCTGCTTTGAGAAAGGTGGCTACCTTTAAGTTCTCTCCTTCTGTGGCTACAGGTCTCAGCTTCCTGTTCCAGTGTTGGCACTGGATGATCCTTTGATTGCAGTATCATCAGCAGTTGCAGGTAAAAGAAACCTTTTCCACCAGCCCCCCTCCATGGAACCTTTCCCAATAAGACTTGCCTCTTTCTTTCCCTTATTAGGGCAAAAAGTTTCGCTGTTTGGATGACTTTGGATGCTTACACTTAGGCCTACTTGATGATTGTTTTCCCTTATTTAAAAATTCCTGTAGAAAACAGGGATAGATTTTAGGGACCATATTGGTGTCTCTTATCATCTATGAGAGCAGAGAACACATTAATCTCGCAGTGTCATCTTGTCCCACCCAGTTTCCCTCAGCCAACCCACACTTGCACAACACCTGTTTTCTGCTACTACTGCTTCTTCTTCCTCTTCTACTTCTCTTCTTCCCCTCCTACTTTTCTGTATTTACTTTGACAATGAGTGTTACCTCCTTTGACCCATTTCCTTATTGCTGCCTTACAAGGTCAGAATACCTTAAGCACTGGCCACCTAGTACTGAATCAATCTATTTATCTAGGTCATAATGCCAAGGGATTGCCTTAGGATTGAAATTAAAACTGTCATCATATCATTATTATCCATCTTACCTGTCATAGACATGAACGTAAAATGTGAGCATAAACTCAGGATACCACCTTTTCTTTTTTAAAAGAGGTTTTATTATTCTTGCCTTAGGGCACGTGTGACAGAGAGAGAGAGAGAGAGGGGGGTAAAGTGAGAAATCACCCCCTGGGGGATGGCCATGCAGCATTCCTTTCTCCATTATCCTCTCAGGATCTTGGGCATGCATGCACATGTGCCTGGCATAAATTTTAAGCCACCAGGTCCAGGACTTGAACAGTGGTTGCCCATGTGGGATCCAATGATGTAACCACTACACCATCTTCTGATCCCATGGATACCAGCTCTTCTGAAGCACCCTAGAATGTAGAAAACCAAATAAGCATTCTTCCAATCAATTACTAAGACAGAGTAACACAAGTATCTCTTTGTTATAATCATTGCTACAAATGTTTCCTTGGTTCCTCTTTTGGAATTGAGAGGTAACAAAGTATAGTTGAAGGAGCATGATATTCTCAAAGGATTTAGACCTTGCCTTGAATCATTGATTGGTCAGGTATTAACTGTGCAATATTTGTGCAAGTATTGCTCTCTGAGCTTCTAGTTTCTCATAATTAAATGGGGTTAACACTATTTATCTTGTGAGTTTTGTAGTGAACCAATAAGCTAATTCCCGTGAAAATGCATAGCATACAGTAAGTGCTTGATATTTTCATGGTTTTGTATTTAGAACCAGTTTACCAATTCTGCAATAACTTGATCTCCTAGCTTTATTGTCCTTGTGCATCCTCTCTTGGTTCATGTATCTATTTTTCTATCTTTTTGTTTGTTTGTTTTCTGGTGAAACTCAACTGTACTCTAAATTTAAAAATTGAGAGTAAGACGGGCCAGTTGGTGGGATGGAGGTTAGGGTCACTGGATCCTACATGGCTCACTACATGGTTCAACCACAGGACCTGGAAGCTTGACCATCACACTGAGTGTATGTATATGCATGCCCAAAATAGAGGAGAATAGAGAAGAAGGGATGACAATATGGCCGTCTTCCTGGGGGTGGTCCCTGGGGGATGATATCTTTCTTTCTCTCTCTCTATCTCCAGTGAGCACACACACCCTATAGCAAAAACTTTAAGAAAATAAATGAATAAAAATTAGGAGCAAGAAAGAATTCTCCTGACTTAATACAGTTATAAAAACCTATAGCAAGCAACATAATTAATGGAAAACCTATAAATGCCTTCTCATTAACAAAAACATTCTTGGGCTGACCACACTGCCTAGTGGTAAGGGAGCTAGATCCCCAGATGGCTGACCATGATTCGAACCCTGGCCATGACAGACTGAGAAACACATTAGGTAGGCATGCCCCAAATTCCTATAGGATGGAGAAATGGAAGAGAAGGAATTGTGGCATAACTGTGCCCCATAAGGGGTGCTTTCTCTCTCTCCCTCTCTCTGTCTCTTCCTATGTGCACTTTTGCAAAAAACAATGTTTTTGAGAGATTTTTACTATAGGGCATGTGCACTCTCTGGAGAGACAGAGACAGAAAGCAAGAAATCACCTCCTGGAGGAATGGCCACACTGCAATCCCTTCTCTTCCATTCTACTCTTGGAATTTTGGGCATGCATGCACATGTGCCTGGCATGAGTTTTAGGCTGATTACATTGGAGTCCAGTGATGAAACCATTGTGCCTTCTGCTGGTCCTGCAAACTTTATCACTAAAAAAAAAAAAAGACATCTTCTTTCATATGCAGTGGTGGTGTCAGCAGCAGCTGCAGTGAACAGAGTCTGGCGCAATGTCTCACACCATTTTGCTGGTACAATCCACCAAGAGGCTAGAAGGCAGAATTTACACTGATTATGAATCTGTGAAGGAATGCATGGAAGGTGTTTGTAAAATGAAGAAAATCTGATGAATCCCAACAGTTCCTCCTTCACATACGATATCAGTCAGTTGTCTGATTTTATTGACGATCTTGTAGACCTCAGCTGCCTTGTTTACTGAGCTGATGATACCCAGACATACCAGTCGTATAACAAAGACTGGATTAAAGAGGAGCTCTACATGTTTCTTTGTCAGTGGGCCCCAAAAGCCAGGAAATAATTGAGCTGGAAGCATTTTAGGGGAATAGGGGTGGACTTGGAACACAGGTGTGTACAGTATACTGTAGTCAAAGTTTTTGTATCATAGTATCCTCTTTCCATTTTGTTACATTCTAGCCAAGATCAAATGTATTTGATGACATGTGAGGATCTTGCTCAATTTCAACCCCTGTTGTTCCCTTTCCCTTTTTTTCGTTTTTGTTTTTTTTTTTTTACTTAGACATTTTTATGATGATTTAGATGATGGTTTCTCCTTGTCAGTTAGTATTGGCTCCAGTCTTTCAAACTGCTCATATCTGCTTTATAACACTCACTGTACTAATCCTTCAAGATAGGGTGGAAAGTGATGACGCAGTTTAGTTATGCCCTCAAGATAAAGTCTCAGTGAAAAATAAATAAAATAAATAAAAGTTCTTTTAAAAAAAGGCATCTTCTTTCACCACTGTGGCTTAGTGTAGTATTAGAGGCTTTGGTCAATACCATAAGACCATCAAAAAAGAAAGACAAAAAAAGGTAAGAATTTAAATAAGAAAGATACAGCCTTCATTGCCTGCAGGTAATATAATTTTTAATAGACAAAACCTAATGAATAAGGAGTCACATTCTGAAAACTAATTAGAGAGTTCAGAAAGCTTGCTTCATTTATAAACAACAACAAAAACTCAAAAATTCTGGGACTTTTGCTTTATCAAACTAGAAAATAAAATAGGAAATAAGATATACCTCCTAAGGGGCTGGCAGGTGGTGTGGTGGTTAGGGGTCCTGAACTCCCACATGGCTGAATGTGGTTTGAGTTTCGGACCTGGCGGCTTGTTTTCTCATTTTCCCTCTCCCTCTCCTTCTCTCGCACTGTTTGTCTATGTCAAGTTAAAAAATAAGTAAATAAAAAAATAAAATTTATTTATTTTAATTTGACCAGAGATTGGCAGAGAGAGAGAGAGAGAGGAGGGAGGGAAAGTGAGAAAGCAAGCCACCAGGTCCAGGACTCGAACCGCAGTCGGCCATGTGGGAATCCAGCATCTTTAACCACCATGCCACCTGCTGGTCCCAAAATAAAATAATTCCTTTTTAAAAAAGATATACCTCCAAATAGCAAGATCTAAAAGGTATAGAAAACAACCTAAAAAAAAGAGAAAGCATAAAGTTTTACAGTGCATATTTTAATATTCTAAAAAATATAAAGAGATTTTTGACTAAAAAAAGATATACCAAGTCTATGTTTGGAACGATTTAACAAAGTAAGTGTGTCAATCCACCCCACATTAATTTGCACATTCAATGCAATCTGAAATCCAATTCCAACTAGATTTTAGGGAAAATTTGGTAGACTTACATTTATAATGGTAAACCTTTCATGAATAGCCAATCATTTTGAAAATAATCTTGAAAAAGTAGATCAAAGAGAAAGAATTCACCCTATTATAAGTTAAGACATATTTTAAAGCTATAATAATATAATGGCATTATACCCTTGTAAGAATTAATAAATAAAAGAACCAAAAAGAACACTCAGAAATACATCCAAGTATACATGGTGATTTGATATGTGATAAAGTTGCTCCTCAAAGCATTGGAAAAGCAACATTGTTTTAGTTTGTAGTGACAAAGTTCACTAATTAGAAAATGTAGATGGGCCCCTATCTTATATAATATACAAAATTTAGATGGTTTAGACATAAGTGAGAAAGGTAAAACTAAATGAACAGAATCAAATGTAATCTAAAGAGGCAACATTTAACAAAATCTTTTACTTATTTTTTTACATTTTCACACAAACATTTACTTTACATATCAAAAAATTTTTGCTCATTCTTCATAGTTCTTGACAGTTAATAAAAAACTTTCAAAATTTCAAATAATAAACAACATTCAAAATGTCAAAAAACTAAATTTTAAAGATGATGTTCGAAATATTTGTTATAATTTTGTGACTCTATAACAACAGCACACATAAACCTCAATTCAGCCCTGCCTACCAAGTATTCTGTAATATACCATCTGCTAGCAAAGATCAGTCTCTTTTTCTTCAGTCTTCCTCAAAATAATCCTCTGGTTGTGGTTGCTCTTTTGCAATCTCTACTGATTACAATGCTGGGCTGGAAAAGACCAGGTTATTTTATGATACAAATTCTTTCATTTAGCTTCTCTAATCCAGAATTGTTTATGGTGCCAGGTCATCTTTCCAAGAGCTTTTGTTGGCTTACTTGAGATCTACCTTAGTTCCATAGTTTTCTTGTTTAATCTTCAGGTATGACATTCCAGTCAAAGCCCTGTCCAATAATGAGTATTTCTAATTCCTGATTCAAGGCAACAGGTATTATTGAACTTATGCAAATAACCATTCTGCCACAAACTAAGAATACTCCCAAATATTTTCCAATTCCAGAGGGGTCAGGAAGGGAGAAAAGTTTATGTTTCCATTTAAAAAAATAAACAAAAAAGAAGAAAAAGCATTTTAACAAATTGCTGAACCTATCAACAACTCAAAAGAAAGCAAACTCTTTAAACTGGGAAAACAAAGCATAGTAAAGTAGAGTTTGAGGAAGGACATTACGGAGAATAATAGAGAGGCATAGCATTAATGGGACAAAGAAACGGGGTATTATCTGTTGAAGATAACTTTATAGTATCAACTGGACTGAGGAGAAATGCACACATGTTGGAATATTCACTTTGCAAGCTAAATAACATGGTTGAATGTATAAAAGAACTTGAAATAAAATTAAAAAAAGAAAAAAATAGTAACGTTTTACTCAAAAGTCATAAAATTCTATTTTACCAGTTCAGACTTATGTAATTAATCTTTCTTCTGTTGCATTTGCAGCATTATTATGGTATGATCTTTCTGTTTAAACTCTGGAAATTAACATTCAACATTATTACTGATATTTCTTGTCACTAGCATTAAGTTGGTCATTTTCTTGGTTGCTTTTTGTTCTCTTATTTCTGTATATGTGTCTTTAGTTTTTCTGGTAAAGCACTCCTTTCAAAACTTCTTGAAGAGCTGGTCTGGTGTTGGTAAATTCTTTTAGGCTTTATTTATCTGAGAAGGTTTTTTATTTTTTTTAATCTTTTCTTCCCACGTGAAGGATAATTTTGCCGGGTGTAGTATTCTTGGTTGAAATAGTTTTTCACTCAACACTGAATACATTTTCCCATTATTTCCTTGCCTGCATTGTTTCTGATGAGAAGTCTGATGTTAGCCTGATTGGATAACCTTTATACGTAACCTGACATTTCTCTCTTGCCAATTTTAGTATTTTGTCTTTGTGGATTTGGCCAGTCTGGCTATGATGTGCCTTGGAGAAGATCTTCTTGGGTTGATTCTATTTAGGGTCCTTTGTATTTCTTGGGACTGGATTATTGAATGCCTCTCTAGATTTGGAAAGTTTTCTTCCAGGATTTTATGGAATAGATTATCAATGTCCTTATTTATTTCTTCACCTTCTGGAATACCGATTATCCAGATGTTTGGGCACTTGATAGTATCTAATACTTCTTGTATAGTCTTTTTGTTTTTTGGGTTATTTTCTCAGTTTTTTGGGTTGTTTTTTCTAGGTTAGAGGTTTTTGCCTTCAACATCCGAGATTCAATCTTCTGCATGGACTAATCTGCTTTTAATATTTTCAAGGGATGTTTTGATGTCCTGCATTGCAGCCTTCATCTCTAACTGCTCCATTCTATTCTTTTTTATGGTATGGATTTCCTCTTTCAGATCATGCAAGAACTTCCTCACCTCCTGAAACTCATTGTCTCTTTTCTCCTGCATTTTCTGGAACTCATTGTCTCTCAGCTTTTATATCTCATTTAGTTTTGTCTCTATGAATATTGTCAATTCTCTATCAGACACTTCCACGAGTTCCACTGTACTGTCTGTGAATGATGAAGGATTGTCCTTTTCACTTGGAGAGATATTTTCTTGGTTTCTCATATTTCTTGTGCCTCTGTGGTGGTTTCTGGTCATTCAGTGACAAAATCTCTTCTCTACTTGTCTGAGTGTTTTGGGGGTTTAGGAGATGAGACTTAAAGCATAATTTTAGTTACCTTGGTCCCTGAACAGGCCAGGACACACCTCAGATTTAAAATGGCTTCTTGTCTGAGTGTTTCAGGGGTTTAGGAAATGAGGTTTAGGGGCAAGATGCAAAAATTTTTAAACAGGAATTAAAAAGCAAAATCATAAAACCAAAAATGATATGATGCTGGGCATAGTAGCACATACTTGTAATCCCAGCTACTTGAGAGGCTGAGGCAGGAGGTTTTTAAATTGGAAGGCAGCCTGGGAAATACAGTGAGAACATATCTCTTAAAAAATCTTTTTTAGATTAAAAAATTAAAAACAAGAGATAGTTTTTTAAAAATCATATTATGATTACAATTTTCTGGTTAACAAAGGGCATCATAGACAATGTTAAGTGATAGATGATAGAATATAATTAAGTCATTCAAACCAGTGCAGATGGCGTCACTTGGAACTTGAGGAGCTGTATGCAGGTATGTAAGGCCTGACAATGGCCAAGAACAAATTTAGAGGTCAAAAGTCCAGGAAAGTATTTCACATAGCTAGACAAAAAAACTTCTAGGCTAAGAACAAGACATAACCAGTTACTACAAATCTTAAGGCAAACGTTGTGAATGATGAAAAAATTAACAGAATGAATAAAGCTTTTGTAAACATACAAACAGAATTTGCCTACTTTTCAAGAGGCCTTTCTCTTGAACCTCTGCGGAAAGATCTTATTCCTCACTGGCATCATGAAAATAAACCTGTTAATTTTGATGAAACTATAAGATTCATGGCTCAGTTGTACTGCAGTGATGGTTTGTCAGATTACCCAAAATTTCAATAAATTAAATGTTTTATACAAAAATTAAATAAATATAACCAACGAGAAGTTAATATTCAGACTATGAAGTAATAATAAGTCACTGAAAAACAAAACAAAACAAAACAACCAAAATACATACATACATACATAGAATAGAAAAATGAAGATAGGAAAGGCAAACCCATCATTGGTGGTTAAGGTGGATAGATCCCACATGGCTGACACCATGGTTTGGGTCCTAGACCTGGTGACTTGAAAAACACGCTGGGTGCATGTATGTGTATGTCCAAAATCCTGACAGGATGGAGAAATGGAGAAGGGATTGTTGCATGACCATCCCCATTTAGGTGATATGTTTTCTCATTTTCTCACTCTTTGTGAATGCACATAGCCTCTAGCAAATGTTAAAAAACAAAGAACAAAAAACAAATAGAAAAAGAATATCAATTAGCAGGTTACTGAAAGAAAAGTCCAAATTGCTACCAAATATAAAGATTCCCCAAATCATTAATATTCAGATACCACATCAAGTTTGTGAAGTCTGTAAGTCCCTTCCTCTCTTTGCCTCCCCAATGTTTTTTTCTAATTCCTCCCCCTTCCTTCCCGCCTCTTTCTGATTCCCCATTCCTCCATTGGTTCAACACAGGTAAATTGGTTTCCCCTTCTTCCCTCCCCCACCTTCACAGATCAACTGTTCATCTCATGCTTCTTTTTCTTTTACTTTTGTACATGTTCAATATTTTTCTTTTTCTCTCTCTGTAATTTTGGTTTCTCTCTAGCTTCCAAATGGTGGTTAGTGCTCAAGCGAAAGAATGAAGAAAGAGGAGAAGGAGAGGAGGGGACGGGCAGGCAAAGAAGGAACACCTGCAAAAAAAGCAGTTTGACAGTTCAGCTGTTTGCAGACTAATAACACATTCTGTTACATGGCAGAAAAAGGAGGGAAGACTGAAAAGAAAAGAGAGGAAGAAGAAAAAAAGGTGGGTATTTAAATAGCATTTTATTGCCAACAAAGTCAATGAAGTTTGACTCCATGGTCCAGCAGTAATGCTAAGTTGAAGAGAAGCCGGATCTCTCATGATTACCATGAATTGAATCCTCAGCCTTGGTCAGCTTGCAACACTCTGGGAATGTATGGGAGTGTCTAGGATACAAAGGGCTAGAGGAGTGAGAAGAGGGAGTGCAGCATGATGAGATCTTTTTTTTTTTAATTATTATTTTTTTTTTGGAAAAGTTTTTGCTACAGGGTTCGTGCACTCACCAGAAAGACAGAGAGAGACAGAGAGAGAAAGCTAGAAATCACCCCCTGGGTGGATGGCCATGTTGCAATCCCTTCTCCTCCATTCTCCTCTTGGGATCTTGGGCATGCACACACACACGCCCGGCTTGAGTTTTAACCACCGTGTCCGGGACTCGAACCTTGGTCGACTACATGGGAGTCCAGTGACACAGCTATTACACTAACTGTTGGTCCCTGGCATGACGAGATCTTGTGGAGGATGTTCATATCTACCTCTTTTTCTCTGTCTCATGTGCATGAGCTCTATCAAGAATAAAGAAAAAAATTTAAAGTCCATTAAAAAATTGAATTAAGGTATAAGTTTATTTAAAATAAATAAATACAAGACTATGAGACATGGGACCAGCAGTTAGAGTAGTGGCTATGTCGCTGTACTCCCATGTAGTCGACCAGGGTTCGAGTCCCAGACCCGGTGGCTTAAACTCATGCTGGGCACGTGTGCGTGTGTGCCCAAGATCCCAAGAGGAGAATGGAGGAGAAGGGATTGCGGCGTGGCCAGCCCCCCGGGGGGTGATTTCTCGCTTTCCGTCTGTCTGTCTGTCTCTCTCTCTCTCTGTCTTTCTGGCGAGCGCACACGCCCTATAGCAAAAACCTCTCCAAAAGAAAAAAAAAAGAAAAAAAAAAGACTATGAGACATCACTTTAATACTACCAGAATTGCAAAGAAAAATTAAAAATACACCATGACTTTCTAATGGCCCAATATAGTGCCAGTTTCTGTAATGATATTGATTTTGTGATTTTTTTAGAATTATAGTGCTAGGAAAAAAAAAGAATTACAGTGCTAGAAAACATATCATATATTGGGCCAGCCTCATAGTTTAGTAATTAAGGGAGCTGGGTCCCACATCACTGATTGTGACTGGAATCCTGGCCTTGGTGACCTAAAAAACACACTGAGCATGTGTGTGTGCATGCCTCAAATCCCAATAGGATGGAAAGATAGTGAAGGAATTGCAGCTGGACAGCACCCATGGGGGGTGCTTTCTTTTCTCCCTTTGTGTCTTTTTATGTCTCTCTCTGGTAAGCATGTGTGCTCTCTGGCAATTAAAAAGAAAAAATATCATGTATCTTTGTGCACATATGAAAATATATACAAAGGGAAGAAAACAACCCAATTCAGGACCAGCAGATGGTGTAATGATTATGTTACTAGACTCCTACGTAGTTGACTGAGGTTCAAGTCCCGAACCTTGCAGCTTAAAACTCATGCTGGGCATGTATATGTGCATGCCCAAAATCCCGAGAGGAGAATGGAGGAGAAGGTATTGTGGTGTGATCTTCCCCCTGGAAGGGTGATTTCTTACTTTCTGTCTCTCTGTGTCTCTGTCTCTCTGGTGAGCACAAGCGCCCTATAGCAAAAGTCTCTCTCTTAAAAAAAAAAAAAAGAAAGGAAAGGAAAGAGAACAACCAGTTCAACGATGTTGTTTCTCTCTTTCCTCTGTGTCTACCAGTGCTCTTGACACAAGGGCTAGAAAACCCACACAAAGATGGTAAGCTGATGTGGGCATGGAGATAAGGGGATAAAAAGAGAATACATTTTTATTGAATTTCACAGTGTACAAACATTTTCTGTTGTCTTGATGAATTGTCATAACTTTATGAGGGAGTAGTATTTACTATCCCATTGTATGGATAAGAAAATAGGTTCAGGGCTAGCAGGTGGCATGGAGTTGAGGCACTGGATTCCACATGCCTGGCTGCACAGTTTGAGTTCTGGACCCAGTGGCTTGAAAATCATGCTGGGTGTCAATGTGTGCATATCCAAAATCTTGAGAGGAGACCAGAGGAAAAGGGACTGTGATGTGGCCAACCCCAATGGGG